TCCCCCCCCTGCCCAGGTGACCAGAGCATCGCCTCCCAGGCGCCAGGCTTTTGTCTGCAGACAAGGAGCGAGATCCCCGCTGTGAGGGATTCAACAGCAGCCTCTCAGGCTGGCTGAGACAGATCTCTGGAGAGGGGCACCGACGGGGCATTTCTGCCACACTGTCAACTGGCAAATGCATACAATAATAGAGGCGGAAATAATTCAGTTTTGTCAGTGTCTATGTGGCTTCCCATTTCATAGATTTCATAGACATTAGGCGATGGAAAGGACCTCGTGAGATTGAGTCCAGCCCCACCTCACCCCCTCCCTGGCCACCATAGGCAGGAAGTTAGCTGGGATCATGTGATCCCAAAAATATCTAGATGATTTTTGACAAAGTCCAGAGTAGGTGCTTGCAGCACTTCTGGGGGGACTCTGTTCCAGACCCTAGACATAGACACCATAAAGAACTTTTTCCTTATGTCTAGTTTAATTTGGCCTTCATGGACTTTATGGCTGTTAGACCTTGGGGAGCTCTGGTGAACAGCTGTTCTCCCAGGTCCTGGTGTACCTCTCTTATATAATTGTAGACTGCTACTAAGTTCCCTACAAGCCTTCTCTTTTCCAGACTGAAGAGTTCCAGATCCCTCACCTTCTCCTCGTACAGCCTGTCCTCCAGGCTGTGGATTATATGAGTGGCTCTCCTCTGGACTCTGTCAAGCTTTTCCACATCCCTCCTGAAGTGGGGGGCCCAAAATTGGATGCAGTACTCCAGCTGAAGCCTCACCAAGGCCGAGTAAAATGGGAGGATGACATCTCTGATTTTGCTTGAGATGCAACAGTAGATGCACATCAAAGTTTGGTTTGCTTTGCCAGCTAGAGCATCGCATGAGTGACTAATATTCATCTTCTGGTCAGTCAGGACCCCCAAGTCTCTTTTGGTCATGGTGCTACAGAGCATAGCATTGCTGAGCTTGTACGTATGTTGAGGGTTCTCCCTACCGAGGTGCAGCACCTTACACTTCTCTACATTGAAGGCCATCCAGTTTTGGTCAACCCACCTTGAGAGCATGTCCAAGTTGGCCTGTATCCCCAGTCTGTCCTGCGGTGTGACCACCCTCCTCCATAATTTGGTGTCATCAGCAAACTTTGCCAGTTCACATCTGACTCCCGGCTCCAGGCTGCCAGCCCCAGGATGCCAGGCTGGCAATCCCATGATGTAGTCCAGGTCTTTCCTCTTGTCCCTGCAAATGGCTACTAAGTTCTATGGATTTTTGTTCATGGGTTCATTGTCTTTCCAGAACCTCACAATGCCCTTTCAGCAGCAGTCATCTCCTGAATCAGTCCCAACTGCACCACCTCTCTGGTGGTTTGATCCTGTTCATTTTTTCCTTCTGTTTCCTTCTTCCTCTCACAAATGCAGAACTGAGTTTCTCCACAGCCTCTGTGGTGAGCCAATAGGGGTGCTGCTGCATTGAGCCACCTACCACACTGCACCCATCCACCTTCTAGGCTCCAAGTACCTCCCTGGGAGTGCCTCAAGTCCAGCTGACCCCCTTCCTGAAGCACACGCGCACGCCTGGGGGTAATGCCACCACCACCCAGAGATTGAATTGATCTTGGACCTGTGCCCTCTGGGAAACACAGGCCTAGTAATCCTTGAGGGTACTTGACCCACTGCAAGAACTTGGGGTGCTTCCATCAGGCTGAAGCAAGAATAGTGGTCTCCCTTACTCAGCTGAACCAAGGAGACCCCAAGGCATAATCTAGACCCTCTCCCAATAAGTCTCCCGTGCTAGGTACAAAGGAGAACTGTACTGGTTACAAGGAGTAGGTTTGGAATAGGGTACAGGGTAGAGCAATATCAGAGAAATACCTTACAGCAAACAGTGGCATGGTAGCCTTTGATTACACATCTGAGTTACTGTAAGCTACATATCTAGTGAGATCTCAAGTAGCTTACTCACAAGTATCATCCAGAGGCAGGTGCCCTCTGAAGTCAAGCAGTTCGCTGATCATGAGTTTCAAGAGAGAGAGCGAGTTTCAAATGGTCCAGCTTCTCTGAGAGTTTTCATTATGGCTACTGCCCCTCCTCCTGGGCAGTCCTTCACTTATATAGCCCTTTTGAGCTCATTTACCTGATCCAATGAAGGCCAGCCAACCAATTTGAAATGCATCACTGGTTGCTGGGTAGATGGCAGGGTCTTTAGCCCCCTCCCAGTCATGTTGGCATTGCTTAGAACAATAGGGAACTTAAGCCCCTCGCCCGGGTATGTGATGCCAGTCATGTAGGCAGAGGAGGCAAGTTTCCCCCCTCCCTGTGGAATGTATCCAGCTCAGGTAGCAACTCAGAGTTACCTGAAGCTCTGCAGTGCTAACCAAATTGTTAGATAGCAGAGTTTGGGGAGAGACAGAGATGGTATTCTGCCACAGCCGCCAGGTGTAACTTTCACACCTTGCAAATGCACACAAACTCCACCTTGAACATTCTAGTGACTGAAGCCAAGGCAAGTTCACCTGGAATAAAAACCATAGATTACTGTTCATGTCTATCCTCCCAAGCAGCCCCTTAATATCAGGAGGGAACTGGAGATCCATGGGACTCACTATGATCAGCATTTGTGAAAGGCCACGGTGACAGTGGCACCTGAGTACCTGTTTGGGTACCGAACTGTAAGCACTAGGTGCGTTTACACTTTGCCCTACAGCAGCATAGTAAAGTGCTACATTGTTATACAGCACGCTATGGCAACCTAGCAATCACCTGTGTCTACACATGATCACTGGCTATGTATCAGTAGTGGCGTGCTGGCCAGCTATAGCATGCCACTATGGCATCTTAGCTGGTGAATCTGTGTGCCACCCATATGCCACAGAAGAGATGGCTTCTGTGTCATGTTTTAGTACTTTCCCCAACCAAATACTGAAACATGGCACAGTAAAAACATTGCCATACAGCATGGTGTAGACACACCCACTATGTTTGAAAATATTGGCCACGAGGCTTTGACATAACACCCTCAGGGCCTGTCCTCCAGCTCAGCACTGGTTTGTCGCTGGCTGTGGCACTGGCTGTGGAGGAAGGGTCTGAGAAAAGGGCCCCTCCATCCAACACAGTCTCTCTTCATCCTCTTTTCATTGTTCACCCTCCAGAACAGCCACAGCAGCAGCACGATGAGTACTGTCAACAGCAGCCTCCTGGGCACCAACACTGCACTTGGATGGAAGATAGACAGGGTCTGAGTGGGATCCAACCACTTTCAGCACAGGGAGCGACCCTTCCTCTTTTACCCTCTGTGCAGGGCTC